AGTGCCGCCACCCCTGAAGGGAGACGACGACCACGACGGTGGCGTCGGCGGCGACGACGCGCTGACGTGGGGCAGAGTCCTCAGGGATACTTCGTGGGGCCTCTTCGGAGCGCGATCGTAGGCCTCTGGGAGGACAGTTTGGGAGCATTTGTGGAGCATCCTGGTGGCCTCGTGGGAGCCTCTTGGGGGTCCCTTCGGGCTTCCGGGGGGCCTCTTCAGGCCTCGTGGGGGCCTCTTGGGGGCCTCTCGGGGCCTCCTGGGAGCTTTCGGGGCCGAGGGCTCGAACTGTTCGTTCGGGCTCCCGTGTGGGCGCCTTCTTTGAGCCGTTTTGGGGGCCTCTTGGGCCGTCTTGGGGCCCTCTTGGGTCATTTTAGGGCCGTCTTGGAAACCTCTTGGAGGCCTCTTGTGCCGATCTTGGTGGCATCTTGGGCCGTCTTGGGGCGTCTGGAAGCCGAAAAGGCGAGAACGCCAGAATCTCTCAAAACCCTGAAGGGAATCATTTAACTTGGCCTGTTGGGGCTCTCTTGGCGTGCTCTTGGAGGCCCCTTCGAGCGTCTTGGAAGCAGCTTGGGCTGTCAAGAGGCCATCTTGGGCGTCTTGGACCGATTGTTGGCCGATTCGGGGCCCTCTTGGACGGTCTCGGGGGCCTCTTGGGCTGTCCTTGGGGGAGGAGGGCATTCTGACCTGTGATCCCCCCCCATATAGGACCCCCGCAGCACGTCCCCCGCGGATCCCCCCCGGGGACCTTTCCCTGGCCCTCCTTGGACCCTCCCCGAACCCGGCAGCGACGTGGCTCCAGTTTCGCTCCGGTTTCGCTCTGGCTGGCCCGCGTGCGGAGGAAGAGGGCCCGGTGTGAAGGCTGGGGAGCGGCGGTGGTCCCAGGGAAGAGTGGGGTTGAACGCGGCGGCGGCGGCGGCGACGACGACGACGACGGCGACGACGACGACGTCGAGTCGAACAGAACAGCGTCTTCCACACGCCGGCAGTCCGAGGCGGGGATTTATGCATGACCACCGCCCTGGAGGTTCAGTTTTTGGAGCCTCGGCAGGCGGTGGATATGGACATGTTCGGGCCCCCGGGGGCCGACATATATCCACATCCGCCGCCCGCTGGGGCACCAGGACGTCGGTTCCCAGGCGGTGGATATGGAGAAATCCCCGCCTCGCAGACAGGGTCAGCAAATTTGCGCCGCAGTCGCCATGTGGGAATGGGGGTCCCCCTGGCTAATCCCAGAGGGCGCCAGGCGCGAGTCAGGACGGTACGGGAGGGGGAGGGGCGGCCCAGGCAACGGGCAACAAGTAGTTTGATTTGTGCACGCTGCGTGTACGCGCAGGCGTGCGCGTGCATATAATGATCTGCACATGCGTGCAGAATATTACACGCCGGTCGTTGAAAGTAGGTATTTTTGGATTTCCAGATCCCAATCTACTTCAAGCGCCTTCCTACTTCAAGAATCGGCATGCTTTTGCTGTGTTTTGTTGTTCTCTGGGAGGACCTGGACCCAATCCACTATATCCGCCTTCCTACTTCATGCTTCTACCTGCTCCTTCCGACCGACGTGTACGTGTATGTGCACATAGTATCTTGATCGGCACATGCGTGTGTGTGTGTGTGTGCTCGATCCAAGACGCTACTGGGAAATCGCAAGTGTAGCGCGTATGCATAAGTCAAGATTTCAGTCACTCATGACTGGGCGCACGCATGTTTCCATGTATGCCTCATGTGCATTTGGCGCGTACTGCTCGCAGCAGAAGCAGTCGCGCGGGTACGCACGCCACGCCGTACGCATGAGTGCATGCATTTGCGCGCGGACGTGCGAAGGCACGCTGTCATGACGTGTGCACGTTGCGTACGGGGACGCGCAGTTGCCAAGGTGGGACAAACTTCTGACCAAAATGGTATGTCTCACAGCGCAACGGCGAGCAGCCCAAACAGCTGTTGTTTTCCCGAGATGATCCGCACAGGCTGGCGGTCAACAGGCAAGGAAGCTGTGAAGTGGCTGACGGAGGCTCGAGCCCGGGCGGAAGGCCATTGGGGCCACGTTGGGGCCCACTTGGGCCCTGGCGGGGTCAGGCGGGGGGCCTGGGGGTCTCAGCTCCTGGCCCGCCGAATGCTTCGCGCTTGCGTTCAGTTTGCTTTCCGCCCGACTTTGGCTTGCCTCTACCCAGCCTCATACTGTCTGAGCTCGCCTCCAGCTTGCTTGGACGCCGTTCCTTCGCAGAGAGCGGACTGATGCATGGCTGTGCACCAGGCTTACGTTCAGGGTGTTTGCCACACTGCACGTTGGCACGTGTCTAGGAGTGTGCAGCATGGAAATTGCGCACGGCGTCGCACAATCAGCAAGATTCATTATGTACGCTGTCGGATGTTCAGAGCCAACCATATTCAACTTATGTCATGGTCGTTGCTAGAGGGATGCAATGTAGACGGAACGTATTTCTTTGTTTGCCCATGCCGAACCAGGTGACATCTGAGATGATGGAGAAGGGCGTGACCACCCCTGAGGTTTGTGGGGGAACGCTTCGATAACGATAACGTTTCCTTCGATTCGTTGTTGCTATGCGTGTCAATCAGGACTTGTATACGTGCGGTGTTGTCGATCGACTCGTGCAGAGCATCCTTCTGGGTGCTTTTGGGCATCTGGCTCATCAGCATCGGGTAAGCGAGTGGGATGCGCGTTCCAATCCACTGTGCGTAGTCGTAGTTGGTTATTTTCATGTCCGTTCCATCCATCTTCGTGCGCCACACAGTTCATTCAGTTTCAGGCGCAGCACCAGTGAACATTGCGTTCGGCGGCATTCGCTGCCTGTGCAGCGGCGTCGGTGTCCGTGACGTGCGCGAATTGTGGAGCCCTCTCCCGTCTGAGGATCGAGGGGGAGAACGAGGAGGAGGATCGAGGGAGGAGGAGGAGGACGAGGATCGAGTGAGGAGGAGGAGGAGGAGGAGGAGGAGGAGGAGGAGGAGGGGGAGGAGGGGGTGGAGGAGGAGGAGGAGGAGGAGGAGGAGGAGGAGAAGGAGGAGGGGAGGAGGAGGACGAGGAGGACGAGGAGGACGAGTCGGAGGAGGAGGCTTGGGATCGCCTGGGAGCGCCGAAGGGCGCTTGGGGGCTGGAGGGGAGGAGAGGAGGGAGGAGGAGGAGGAGGAGGAGGAGGAGGAGAGGAGGAGGAGGATGCAAGGAGGAGGGGGACGAGGAGGAGGATCGAGGGAGGAAGATCGAGGGACGAGGAGGACGAAGATCGGAGGAGGAGGCGGATCGATGAGGGAGGCGGGAACGGAGTAGGAGGAGGAGGAGGAGGAGGAGGAGGAGGAGGAGGAGGTGGAGGATAATCACGGAAGGCTGAGGAGGAGATGGAGGAGGAGGAGGAGGAGGAGGAGGAGGAGGAGGTGGAGGATAATCACGGAAGGCTGAGGAGGAGATGGAGGAGGAGGAGGAGGAGGAGGAAGTGTAGGAGCAGGAGGAGGAGGAGGAGGAGCATCGAGGAGGGAGGAGAAGGGTTGGGGGACCATGATGATGTTGATGCTGATGCTTATATCGATGTTGATGGTGATGCTGATGCTGATGATTATGACGATGACGATGACGATGACGACGACGATGATGGATGTGCTCTTTGGTTTACCAAGTTGCACGGGAGTATGGCAGGTGGCAGGAAACGTTTAAGGGAGCTCGACGGCTCCTGTCTGGGATCAAATTTGGCCCAAAACGGCTGCTGGCGCAACACTCCCTCTTCGTTACGGCGGCACTGCTGTAGGGGAGGCTAGCCCCCCCAAGCCCCCCTCACTCAGAGCCGCCGCCACCGCGCGGGCAGGGTGCCATGCGCCTGGGGCGAGGGAGTGCATGCGCCTGAGACCCGAATTCCCGGGTCCGCCTGCGCGGGCGTCGGGTCCCGCTCGCGAGCGGATGCGCATACCCCTGGGCTCAGGTGTCGCTTTCAGGCTTGCTGAGCCACGGCCTGACGCCTGCGAGGGCGGGGGTTCTGGCTCGCCGGGCCGAGGGCCACTGGAGCTGCAACGCCGTGTCCTGCAAGCGTACTTCAATCGAGCGTGTCGCTTCAACATCTGAGCGTGTCGCTGGGGCGGCGTTCAGCCACGGGAGTGCGACCAGTTCGGTCTCTGCGCTGGTCGTGTGCGTGGCCTTCGCGCTGGCGCAGCCGAGTCGGGCCCCGCCGCGAGCCGACGGCATCTGGAGCTGCAGCGCAGCATCCAGCAGGCGTACGACAATCAAGCGTGTTGCTACATGATCTGAGCGTGTTGCTGGGGCAGCGTATAACCACGGGAATGCGAGCAGTTCGGTCTCTGCGCTCGTCATGTGTGCGGCCCTCGCGCCGGCGCAGCCGAGTCGGACCCCGCCGCGAGCCGAGGGCATCTGGAGCTGCAGCGCCGTATCCAGCAGACGTGTGACATTCAAGCGTGTCGCTTTCAGGTCTCAGCGTGTCGTTGGGGCGGCGCGTAACTACGGGAGTGTGACCAGATCGGTCTCTGCGCTGGTCGGGTGCGTGGCCTTCGCGCTGTCGCAGCTGAGTCGGGCCCCGCGGCTCTGGACAGGAGTGTCGGTGCAGCGTTGGGCTGCCTCGGTGTGCACTTCGGCGTGGACGCACACTGCGTTGGTGTCCAGTACCACGCTGACGCCACGGTGTCCCCTTCGGCGTAGTCGAGCACTCCGACCGCGCCGTGCTCCACGAATTTAAGCAGTGCCAAGGGGTCCAGCATTGCTTGTTCGATCTCCGCGCAATCATCGGGCACGGTGGAGTCGAGCAGTTCCACGAAACCCCAATCGGCGTGAACGAACATTGTATCGGTCTCCAGCTCGCCACCGTCGAGCAATGCCACGGCGCGCGCTTCGGTGCGGTCGTGCACTCCGTCGGTGCCCCGCGCTTCAGACCCGATCAGGACCACGACGTGCAGCATGACGTGCTCGAGCGCCAATCTTGTATCTGGTTCGGCGGAATCGAGCAGTACCGCAGTCCCCGCCTCGATGTGGTCGAGCATCACGTGGGCGCTTAGTTCTACGCAGACTACGACGTCGCCTCGACGTGGACGAGGACCCCGTTTGGGTCCGGCAGAACGGTGTCGACCCCGGCCGCGGTGTCCAGCTCGAAGCGTTCGAGGACTTCGCGGGTATCTGATGGAGTCGGGCGAGTGCCGCGGTGCCCACCTCAGCGTGGTCGGAGACTAGGGCTACCACGGTGACCGCCTGGCGTGGCCGAGCACCCGTCGGTATCTTGTTCTACGGGGTCAAGCGGCACCACGGTGTCCAGCGCAACATGCGCGGTCACTTTGCTGGTGGCTGGCGCGGATGTGTCGAGCATTGCCACAGTGCCCGCCTGGGCGTGGTCGGACGCTGCCTGGGTTCCCGTTCTGTGCAGTAGTACCACGATGTCCGCCTTGACGTGGTCCAGCGCCCCCTTCGGCGCCTGGTTCTACAAGGTCAGGCAGTACCACGGCATGCAGCGCGACGTGCACGATTGCGCCCTGGCGTCTGGCTGGGCTGAGGCGAGCAGGGGCGCGGCTTCCCCCCCGGTGGGGTAGTGCGCCGCGTTGGTGTCCAGCTCCTCGGACCGAGGCGTGCGCGGGCACCCCGCCAGTATCCAGTAGGGCGCAGTCAGGGGGCGCCACGGTTTCCGCCGCGACACACTCGATCACCCGATCGGGGAGGCCGCGGTGGTGTCTAGTTCCACGTGTCGGGCGGCACTCAGGCCCAAGGGGCATCGTGGACATGAGCGCCTGGATTGACGATCTGAAGGGCGCTTAGGAAATGCGGAGGATGGGCGTCCATTCGACCGGCGAGAAGAACGCGCGCGTGCGGTCGATGCGCCAGGATGACCACCATGACCGTCAGCCTGCAGATGTCGAAGTGTCCCTGCGCCTGCTGTGACGACGCGCGCTCTCTTGCGCAGTTCCAGGTCGGCGAAGCGGACAGCGGCGCCCGGGTGGAAGTGAGCGGCGCCTCCCTGGCAGCAAAATAGGTTTCGGCCGCCGCGGGTGCTGGAGGTGCTCCAGGAAGTCCCGGGGGTCGCAAGCTTCGGGGCGCCCTCGCTGCTGCAGGTCGATCCATCGCCTCCGCCTCCGTCGGTCGAGCGTCAAGCAGCGGAAGGCGGCTCGAGGAAGTGCCTCAACGGCCAGGTCTCCTGTTGGGTTCCTTCCCAATCCCATTGCGCTCGAGCGGGGCATTTTCAGTGACCTGCGGGAAGACTTGACCCGCGCCGCGCAGCGCAATCGCGACGCAGACGGCGATGGCGAGAAGGAGAACATGAATGAGCAGCTCGCGACGCTGAGGCCGAACAAGATGAAGTTCGCGGACATGTGTGGCGAGCCCATCTCCGACATCGCTGCCCTCGCGGCGACGGCGCGCGAGGACCAGGGGCAGCGCCGCGACGTCGAGCGTGCCTTCTGGATCAAGATGGCGAACTGCGAAAAAGCGCGCGGGCGAGATCCTCTGCGCCAACAGCAGGACCGGGGCCGTGCGCGACGCGTGGGCGTGCGCCACCGTTTCGCCCAAGGCGTCGATCAAGGACTGCGACGTGACGGGCTGGTCAGCGGGGCCGTGCGCCGCCGGCTGAAGCGGCGGCCCAGTGCCGTTAGTTTGCGCCGACAGCTGCCCCGTCCACGGACGGGGCGTCGACGTCGACGCGTGCGGCGGCATGGGGCACTTCGCCAGGCAGGTCATCATCCGCGCGATGTTATTCGGCATGGCCTGTTCCCTGCTACTCGCCAAGCGCAGGAGCGGCGTCGAAGGCGTGGAGTGCCACCGGTTTCGCTGCCCAGTCCACTGCTTCAGGTCCGAGTGGCCAGGCTGGTCGGGCTGCTCCAAGGTGCGCGTGGGCGGCGCCCGGGAGAAGACCCGGCTCGCCCTCGCGATGCCCATGGGCGAGCGCATTGGAATGCGATGCCGCGCTCGGGGAACAGCTGGGCAGCGCCGGTCCGCGCGAACGAGACTGCGCGCTCATGCCGTGGGCCGCGCGGGGGCCCCATTCGATGGCCCGCGGCGGCGGCGCCCAGGCGCGCTCGCGCAAGGTGGGCGCCCCCGGGCGTCTGCGCCCCGACCGCCTGCAGACGCAGCGGTGCGACGCCCAGGACTGCGTCGGCGACGGGATCAGCGTCGCCCGGCAGGTTCCCGCCATTGCCATCGACGGCAGGGGCCCCCTCGAGCAGGAGGGCTTCGACATCCTTCAGAAGTTTCCTGAGCCTCGCCAGCATGTGCCAAGCCGCGCGCCGCGGCGTGGAGGGCGCGCGACGGGCTGGCGCTCTTCGAGCGCGGCGAATTTTTCGACAGCGGCACCGTCGCAGCGGCCCTCGAGGTGATCGCCTCGTGGGCGACCTTGAGTCCGTCAGCGCGGCGTTCGCCAGGCTGCAGCGGCAGCGCGGGTTCACCGACGTGAAGCACGCCTTCCATGCGACCGACGATCTGCCCGCGGAGGGCCGCGACGACGCTCGGGGCGTCGACGCGCTGCTCGCCGACGGCAATTGCGCCGACGCGCGCCGCGCCGCCATGAAGGCTGCGGCGCCGAGGGGCAGGGGGGCGTAGATCTCCATGGCTTTGATCGCCCAGAGCTCGACGAATTATTCACTGGTGCTGAGGGGCTGGGCGAGCGAGCCCTGGGGGGCCAATTGCGAGCGCGTCCCTGGCCTCGCGGCGCTCGTCAACAACGAGCCCGTGTTTGCCCAGAAGCCGCCGATGAAGTTCCCCCCCGCGCGTTCGCCGCCGCAGGGGGCCGGGGGGGAGGGGGGGCAGCGGGGCCATCTCCAGATCCATTTGGAGGGCTACCACTCGGACAGCTGCGGCTAGCGGAAGAGAATGCGCAATTCCGACGCCGCCGAGGCGCGCGTGGGGTTGGCCAAGGAGGCAGGGGCCCTCTGGCTTTCGCGCTTGAGGAAGTGCGCTGCGGGGCAGGCGCCAGGGTAGACGTCGCCGATGCCTGTGGGCCGAGGCGCTGAACGACCGCGTCAACCGACGTGCCCGGGCGGCGCGCGGGAACCCGAGCGCGGTCGGATACCTCGTCGACGGAGAGAGTTCAGGGCCAGTTCGATGCGGCGGGAGTTTTGCCGAAGGCTGTTCGGGCCTCGGGGGGCCTCGCCGCCTGCGACGCGCTGGGGGGTCTGTAGAGGCCGAGCTCTGGACTGGGGGGCTCGGCGGAGCTGAGTGTCCCATTGCGCCAAACCGCGCGCCCTGCTGGTGTCGAGTACTCGGGTTGGACGTGGTGGCCCTTGCAATGGCGCGGAGTTCAAGGGTGAGCCCCAGGTGGCTCCGTCGCCGGCGAGGCGCTCGGGGGGCTTGCTGGGGTGGAGCCTGAGGCTCTGCAGCGCGGAGGCGGCCGCCGCCTGACCGGGGCAATCCCCGAGTGGGCGCCGGAAACTGGTCGTGGGCAACCGTGGCTGGTGGAATCTGCGGCAGCCATTCCGCGGCCTTCGCGCGCTGGCCGAGGCGCCGCTGGTCTGGCGGGCCCCCCCGCGCAGATCGGCCAGCCTAATCCCCGCCGGGTAGAGGGCCCCCTCCCTTCCGGGGCGGAGCGAATTGCGGCGCCCAGGTAGTCGCCGCGGCACGAGCGTGCAATGCGCTCGTGTCAACCTCGACGAGATCGAGAATCGGCGCCGACATGGCGTCGGCGGCATCTTCGGCGTAGCGCAGGCGGGTGCGCGGCGCCGACGCTGCGCCAATCGTGGCGCCAACGGTGGCGCTCTCGCAGCCCGCAACCGCAGGTGTGAAGGCTGGAGAGTGGCCGCAGAATCGCCCTCGGGGAAGGAAGCTGCGCGCGCGGCGCCTCATCGACCCTCGCAGTGCCTTGAAAGTCAGAAGGGCCGACGAGATCGGCGGCGGCAGGGCGGGCAGGGCCCGCGCGGTCCCGGCGACCCCTGGCGCGGCTGGAATGCCCCCCTGCCGTTGGCGGGAAGACGCCAGGTGGCCCTCGCGGTGGCCTGGCCCTTCGGGCCCCCCCGTGGTGCCGCTGGTCTGGCCCAGGTGTGGCCAGTGCTGCGCGCTCGCGGCGCGGCGCTTTCGGGGGCCCTCGCGGGCTCGCAGGCGTGGCTTTTTGTTTGCCCAGTCAGCGCGGCCGCTGGTCTAGCCCAGGCGTGGCCAGCGCTGCCTATTCGCGGGGTGGCCCTTAGGGGCCCTCGCGGGCGTGCGGGCGTGGCCCTCTGCGTGACTAGTCAGCGTGCCAGACGCCATCGGCGCGCTGGCAACGGGGGGGGGGCCCGATGCTCGCGCCAACGCGCCCGCGGGGATCGTCGCCGCGGCGCAAGCGGGCACTTTGCTCGCGTCTACCTCGTCGAGATCGAAATTGGGCGCCGGCGCGGCGTCGGTGGCTGCTCCGGTAGATCGCAGACAGGCGCGCGGCGTCGGGGGCGGCGTCGATCGCGGAGCGAACGGCGGCGCCTTCGCAGCTCGCAACAGCAGGGGCTAAAGCCAAAGAGCGGCCACATAATCATTCTCGGGGAAGGACATGGCGCGCGCGGCACCTCGTCAACCCTCGCAGTGCCCGAGGGCGGCGCCGACGTGAAAGACAAAAGTGCCGGCGAGATCGGCGGCGGCAGGGCGGGCGAGGCCCGCGCTGGGCCGACGGCCCCCAGCGCGGCTGGGGCGCAGCGAGCTGCAACGCTGGAGCGGCGGCCATAGCGCGAGCGCGCGTTCTCCTCGTATCGGCCTCGACGTCGTCGAGAGTGGGCGCCTGCATGGCGTCGGCGGCTGCCCCGACAAAGCGCAGGCATGGCGCGCGGCGCTGGAGATGGAGACAATCGCGGCGCGAACGGCGGCACGTCAAGAGCCCTTAATAACAGGCTAAGGCCGGAGAGTTGCCGCGTTACCACCCTCTGGGAAAGAAGTGGCGCGCGCGGCGCCTCATCATATGTCGCAGCGCCCGCGGTTGGCGCTGGCGCGAAAGCAAGAGGTGCCGAAAAGATCGGCGGCGGCAGGGCGGGCGGGCCCCATGCTGAGCAGACGATGCCAGGGCCTGGAGGCGTGAAATAAGCGCGCCGCGCGGTCAACATCGCGCCTCGCTTCGGCGGTCGGCGATCCAGGCCCAGGCAGAAAATGGCAGAAATGCCCGAGTGAAATTTCAGGAAGGCACAATTGCATCTACATAACTGGAGGCGGCCCAGATATTCAAACCTGTGGTTGCAAAAAACTGGAGGCGATCCAGATATTCAAGAACGTCATACTTAACGCGGCTAGTTAGCCATCGTGGGGTAGGGCGGAGTTGTTTTGTTTTGTTTTCTTTCCGCTGCCCGTTGGGTCGCTCGTGCGCCGCGTGAACCCCAGGGCCTAGCGTGGCGGAGGCCCCCAGTTCACCGCATGCGGCTGGCGAGCCAGAAAAGATCAGGGAGCGGTGGAATGTGGAGGTGGCAGTCTCGGAGACCTTGCCCTCAGGGGCCGGTTCAGGCTCGGGGCGGAATGGCAGGAAGGCGCTCTGCGGCCCACCGCGCTGTGTGGCCCCTTTGTGCGCCTGGCGTAGCCACCGTGCTGTGTGGCCCCTTTATGGGCCCGGCGTGGCGTCGTCGATCAAGGGCCGGCGGGCCCCTCGAGGGGGCCTTCGCTGGCTCGCAGAGGGGCGGCCCGCTGTGAGCCTGGTCCGCGTGCCAAGCGGCGACGCGGTGCGGCTAGTAGGGGGGGGGGCTGACACTCGCGCCAGCGCGCGCACATCATGCTCTGGCGCGACTGTCGACAAAAATGACGCCATGATGGACGTGCCCTTTGGTTTCCCGAATTGCACGGGAGCATAGCGGGAAACGTTTGGGGGAGCTCGACGGCTTCTTTCGTTGCTGTCTGTGCCTGGGGACCTGACCCACAAGCTCCCCCTGACATCTCCTGCCGGCTCTGTCTCGGGCTACGGGCGTGACCGCCACCCGTCCCGCTGCGAGTTCCTTCGGGTTTCTCCCGCAGGGAGTGTGGAGGAGACAGTCTTTGAGACTATGGGGCCGCGTTGACCCACGGTCAGGCTCGGGGCGGAGTCCCCCCCTGCTGCTGGCAGGAGAGCGCTCCGTGGCCCACCGCGCTGTGTGGCCGCTTTGTGGGCCCATCGTGGTGTCGTGCATCAGGGGCCGGTGGGCCCCTCGAGGGGGCCTTCGCTGGCTCGCAGAGGGGCGGCCCACTGTGAGCCTGGTCCGCGTGCCAAGCGGCGACGCGGTGCGGCTAGTGGGGGGAGGCCTGGCACTAGCGCCAACGCGCGCACACCTTGCTCTGGCGCGCGACTGTCGACAAACAGGACGCCATGATGATGGTGATGATGATGATGCTGATGATGATGGTGTTGATCAGGAGGGGAAGAAAACACAGACACAACTAATCGTCGAATACAAGGAAAATGTGGGGAACATGTGGGAGGTGGGGGGGAAGACAAAAACCTTGAAAATATGGGAACATATGAAGAATCTTGTTATTTGTGTGTATTTACTTGTGTGTCCCAGGGCCCCTTCAGTTGATGCTGCTGCTGATGATGATGATGATGATGATGATGATATTGGTGCTGAGTATATTGGCGATGCTGCTGCTGATGATGCTGATGCTGGCGCTTATGCTGATACTAAGGATGATGATGGCGATGGGGATGACGATGTTGATGGTGATGATGATGACCATGGCGATGGAGATGACGATGCTGATGCTGATGATGACTGTGATGCTAATGATTGTGATGAATGTGCTGATGCTGTTTATAATGTTGCCGTTGATGATGATGGTGCTGGTTAAGATGATACTGCTGCTTCTGCTGCTGATGGTGCTGATCCTTATGCTCATTGTGAGGCTGATGGAGATGATGGTGCTGGTGCTGCTGGTGATAGTGATGATGGTGGTGATGACAATGCTGATGGTGTGGTTGATAATGCTGGTAGTGTTGATGCTGATGGTGATGGTGATGCTGATGCTGATGATAATGACGATGGTGATGGTGATGGCGATGATGACGCTGATGATGTTGATGATGCTAATGGTGCTCATAGTGATGATGTCGATGATGGTGATGGTGATGGTGATGGTGATGACTATGGTGGTGGTGGTGTTGATGATGATGGTGACGTTGACGATGATGACGATGGTGCTGGTGATGATTATGATGACGCTGATGCTGTCGATGATGATGATGCTCATGGTGATGATGCCGATGATGGTGATGGTGATGGTAATAAAGATGGTGGTTGTGGTGGTGAAGATGATGATGATGATCATGATGGTGGTGGTGGTGGGATGATGATGATGATGATGATGCTGATGATGATGATGATGATGATGATGATGATGATGATGATGATGATGATGATGATGATGATGATGATGATGATGATGATAAGGATGAGGATGAGGATGAGGATGAGGATGAGGATGAGGATGAGGATGAGGAGGAGGAGGAGGAGGAGGAGGAGGAGGATGATCGAGTCGAGGGAGAGGCGCCCCACCCCGCGCGGGCGCGGAGCGGCGCTGGCCTTATGTTCGCTCCGGAACCCAGGGAGGGGGCTCGCTTGCCAGGTGGTGTACAGCGCGCTGACCACCAGCTCGGTGAGCGCCCCCGGAGGCGTCTCCTGCTCTTGCCATAGGGGAAGCGGGTCCTGAGGGAAACGGGTCCTCACCGTTTTCGGGCTCTCGGTGCCTTCCACGGGCCCCAGGACTGTCAGAAAACGACTCAGGATGTAGAACTCGTCCTACGGGAAGGCCTCTGGGTACAGGACTTGTTTCTCTCAGGATCCGGTGCGAATGCTCCCGGCCCCGTGTCGCATGCGATTTGTTTCCCCCAATCCCCCAGTTCTGCCAGAAGAGTTGGGCCGCCCAGAAAAGGGAGGAAGCTCTGGGATGCACCCCGAGGGAGGTGATTCGGACACACCCTCATCGCACATCCCAGGGTTGTGCCCCACATCATTAGTCCAGTCGACAACCTCCCAACCATTCGGGGATTGGGGTCGCCATATCCCCCGTCAACGATCGCGGTCGAACCCGCCAGCGCGGGCTGGCGTGCTCTCTTGGGCGCCCAGTGGGGTCTCCCACTCGGGGCCGGCCGCGTGGTAGACTCAAGTGGCGGGCGGTCCTCCGCAGGCGGCGCCTGTGCACGGCAGGTGCGTGCCGCGTGGTTTCGGCGGCGACCGCACCGCGGGCGTTCCAGGGCGAACGCCGCCAGCGGTCACTCGTCCGACATTGAACTCTGGGCCTCCCAGATGGGGTCCGAGTAGATAGGGGTCGGAGGATCGCGCCGCATCGCCGATGCATCGGCGATGCTGCTCGGTGCCGAGCTCGTCTTTCTCCACGCCGACGGCGCCAATGCATCGCCGACAGCGCCAATGCATCGTCGACATTGCCCCTGCATCGCCAACGCATCGCCGATGCATCGGCGATGCATCGGCGATGCGGCGCGATCCTCCGCGCCCATCTACTCGGACCCCATCTGGGAGGCCTCTAGCCAGCGGTCATTCGTCCAACATTGACAGATCTGCGCTTTCGGAGAGCCGCGATCGCACAAGGTTGAGCGATTCACGTGGTGTCAGCAGCCCCGGATGCGTCTCCTGCTCCGCCCCTCTTCGCTGCGATCGAGCCTGCTGGCGCGGGGGGGCGTTTAGTCTGGGCGCTTGGTGGAGTGTCTTCCTCGGGGCCCGCCGCGTGGTGGTCGAGCAACGTTAAAACATAGACTTTCCGAGCTCTGCGTGGATTTCATGTACTGGCGCTGAACCCCCCTGGCGGCGACTCTCCGCGAGCCAGGGAGTAGAAGTCCAGCGCCGATACAAGAAGTCCGCGCGAGCCTCCAAAAGGTTGTGCTCATGCAGTTGTTATCTCCTCCAGGTCGGCTCAACTGACGAGCAGTCCTCCGCAGAAGGCATCTTTGCAATTGTGTTGGTGCGCAGATGCCTTCTGCGTAGCTTGGTCGCTCCTCGCTGTGGGAAAACACATGGCTCGGAATGAGCAGGCTATCCTGGGAAGCGCCCCGGGATTCGGGACCCGCTTCGCTCAGGACTCAGGAACTCTTTCCGTACCAGTATGTTTGGTATCACCTTACCTCGATGTCGATCTTTAAGCATTGTCGCAGCTTCTTAGGGCACAGCCCTCAGACCGTCAGCGCTCTCTGGCCTGCCCATCTTAGGGATGGGCATCGGTCCGAGTCTGGTTATCTCCTTCATGGCAGCATTCCTCCTCTATGACGTGGAGCGGACTTTAGCCTCAGGATTGCAGTACCGTCGTATCGTCTCAACATTTCTACTCGTCGTCGTTCTCCTCCTCCTCCTCCTCCTCCTCCTCGTCCTCCTCCTCCTCCTCCTCCTCGTGGCAGGTCGTCCTTTTCGGGCGAGGGCCCCGGGCCCCGGGCCCAGGCGTGTGCAGATGTGTGGCGGCGCTCGCCCGGGGTGCCCCCCCGAGTGCGCAAGAGCTCCCACCTTTTTTTCTGCCGCAGGCCACGGCTTCTGCGCCAGGACTCCACGAGCTGCTCGCCATCGTGCTTGCCTGCTTCTCCTCCTCCTTGCCACCTTGCTCGCTTGCTGCCTTGCTTGCCTGCTGCTGCTTGCCATCTTGCTTGCTCGCTTGCTCGCCTGCTCGGAACAAATTAGCGAACACATGCCACATTCAGCCGTCAACGCCTCCCCCTCCCCCCAAATGTTCAAAGTTGGCGGTGGGTCTGATGAGATGTACTTCGACCGCAGTCTCCCCCGCGCGTGCCAACATTGAGTTTGGGGGGGAGGGGGAGTGTTCAGTAATTGTTTCCCTCTACCGTATTTTGCTTGCTTGCTTCTCTTCCTCCTCCTCGGTGTTCTAGCCGCGACCAGGCGTGTCGGGGTTGCCGCTTCGGCCATCGAGGATCGCACCGCCTGTGTCTCCAGACCATGCCAGACTTCCCGTCACAGTAGTGCAAAGGTGTCGCGTGTCAAAAAAACAATGTCGGCGCGCTCTGAGCAGACATGGCCTTGAAGCAAGGGCGCCCTCGAGGGTGCGAAGTTATTCGCGCTTCGCGCTGCGCGGTTCGGCTCCGATTCCTCATCCTCCTTTTCTCCCCTGGGAGGCGGCGCGAGAGCGCGAAGTTATTCGCACTTCGCGCTTCGCGCAGCGCGAAGCGCGAAGTTGGGAGCCCTTGTTGAAGTTGGGGACAGCGCATGGGAGCAGTGATGGCCAGCGCATGCAGCACGAGAGGCAGAAAAAGCTCACCCGTCGAGAGTGGCACTCTGGCCCGATGTTCTGTACTTACGTTGAAGTCGGGCCTGTCCCTCTACAGGGGGAATTATTCAAACATGGTAATAAATAGTTTGGGGACAAGCTTGGAGTATTTTTTAGTATTGTAGGGGGACGCGCCCGACTTAACCTTCCGTCTCGGCGCGGCGCTTCGATGGAGGTGCCTCGCGTTGTGTCTTAGTCTCGATCGGTCTCCGCTCATGCGCCTCGGCTTCCGTCTGGGTCTCTGGTTTGTGTGGGGGTTGCCGTCCTGGCCTCGTGGGGTGCAGGCGGCGGTGTGGGTTGTAGCGTTCGTGGTGCAGGCAGAGGGGCCATCCTGTGGTGCCCAGAGAGCGCGCCGAGGAGGCTCGGGAGCAAGGGCAAGTGGGACGTGAGGGACGCTGCGGGCTGACGGATGCCGCCTCTCCTAGAGAGAGATAGTTATAGCCCTCCAACGTGTGGCCAGACTTGATGGGATCGCAGGATAGCGCCTCATCGCCGATGCATCGGCGATGCTGCGCGATCGGGAGTCCGATTCTCACCGTGCCGACGTCGCCGGTGCATCGGCGATGCGGTGCGATCGTCCGAGCCCGTCTGCTCTGGCCTCTTTGACGCCTCTTTGGGTCTGTTTTGGATACTCGTGTATCGCATTTGGGCCATCCTAGGGCCCCTTCTTGAGGATTAGTTGTTGCTTTTCAGTGGTCTTGGGGCCACCTCGGGGCCCGAGAGCAACATGATAATATATCAACTGTATGTTTTCCATGACTCGGGCTTCTTGGGAGTCTTCGAGGAGAGTTTCTTCAGCCGTCTTAAGCCGTAGTTTGCGGTCTTGGCCAGCGCGGGCCATCTGACGACATCTTGGGTCAGCGCGGGCCAGCGCGGTCTTGGGCCAGCGCGGGCCATACTTGCTAACCTTAGGATTTAAGAATGGTGTGGTTTCCACTTGCTTGCGCTCTTTAGCGGCTTTGGTGGCCTCCTGGAGCTCTCTTGGTGTCCTCCTGTAGTGTCTCGCGGCCCTCTCAGGACTCTTGGGGCTCCCTTGTGGCCACCTTCCGGTCCGAGAAGCTCATTGGAGCCCGCCAGTGCGAGAAGGTCAATCACGGCAAAGCACATCGAATATTGATAGTTTGGTCTTTCCAGGGGGCCTCCGAGGGTTTATCAGTCGGCCATCTTGAGGTGTCCTTGCAGTCGTTTCGTTCGCTTCGATCTATCTTGGACCATCTTGGGGCCACCTCCGCATCATTTTGGGGCGATTCGGGGCCACCTCTGAGCCATTGGATCACTTTGGGCCACCTCTTTGGCTCAAGGAATGTTTGATCACTTCAGGCATGTTACTTTTGCTTGTAAGTCTGTCGTGCTGGGAAGAACCGGCTTCTTGGATGACCGTCGCTACAAAATGGAATTCAACGGATGAACGAAAGAGGAGGCGAGCACGGGCTCGACTCCAAAGGATACAAGTCGAAAGCTGACTAAGCAAAGGAGGGCGACGAATCACAGGACTTCGAGATGGAGGAAGAGAGGAGGAATAATAATAACAGGAGCTGGGCGTCGAGACCATGACTGTAAATGTTATGCGCATGATGAAGGGCATGAGGAAGGACATGAAGGATACGATAAAAGATGTCGAGGAAGCTAAGGACATTCGCGCGGCAAGCGAAGGCCGCCGAAGGAATGGCCGAGCAGGCGGTGGAGGCTGTGAAGAGTACAGTTAAGAAGAACAGCGACGAGATGAAAGCGATCAGGAAGGAGATTGAGGAGATGAAGACGGGGATGGGGAGCCACGACAACCTCGAGGAAGACCAGGATAGGGACAAGCAAGTCGTAACATCCAGGTTCAACAAAGGAAAATAAGCAAAACTTCTGGTGGAGCGAATTGGAAACATGCTCGAACAGATCATAGGGGAGGGGCATAGGGCAAACATGGAAATGTTTACAGAACCAGCTCGGACGGGCATGCTCACCTTCGACACCAGCACTACCAATAGGACACGTATTGCGTGTCTTTTGTTTTTTAAAGCATGTTTTTTTCCATAAAGCAAGAACATTGCGGAAGATAAGCACAGGGACAAGGCAGGTAGCATGTTCTTCCGCGGCAAGCAGACCAGACAAGGGAGGGAACACGACAAGCAATTAGGATACAAGGGCCATGCGGTCAAGGTGCGAGGGGGGAGTAGGAATGTTGAAGTCAACGCAAAGAAAATAGTGTGGCACTAGGACTGGGAATGAAACAACGACACGCGCAGCACTCATGGTGAAGAAGGAGGTGGAGGAGGCAATGACAAAGTGGAGGGGGGGGGGGCGGCCACGGAGTCGGGTTGTTCCTGGCATGCACATCATGATTATGTACACCACGAAGGCCAAGGCCTACAATATCGCATTCTACATTGTTTGGGA